CTGTCCCGGTGACCGGGCGAGATGCAGGGCTCGGGCTGCTCTGCCCGGATCCCCCCTAGCCCTGCACCCTGGAGTTAGCTCTCCATCCTCCCCGCCCCCCCCCCCCGGTGGTGGGTGGGGTGAGGGGCAGGGAGGACTTAAGCCACAGCTGTCATCTGGCCCCCCCAGGTAACAGAGCCCGGTGCCGTGGGGCATCCTGGGATGTGCGGTCCAAGTGCCTCCTGCTCCCATTCTCTTCGCTTGGCCACGTTCTGTGGCTGGACTACATCTCCCATGATGCACCGCAGCAGCAGCCCCATTCCCCTCCTTTCCTAGTGGGGCGAAAGTGATGCATCCTGGGGGATGTAGTCCGGCCAGATCGGCCAGGCTGCAGAGGAACAGGGACTCACGAGGCAGCTGGACCACACGCCCCAGGGTACCTCCTGCTCCCTGCAGTTTGAATGGCTATTGTAGGCCTGAAATTTTCCCTGCCCGGTTAATAACACCTGCAAAATGGGGGGTGGGGAGTCGTGGGGCGGCCCCAGGGACAGGGCTGGGAGGACCCAGGGCACCCCCCTCTTTGGAACAACCCCAGAGCTTTGAAAAATCCCAAACCTTTGGTCTTCCCGAGCTCCTCCAGTAGGTAGTGGGCCTCCTCCCGGATCCGCTCCTCGATGCTCCGCTTCCCCATGCCGAAGTCCCGCAGGGTGCTCAGGGCGAACCGGCGCAGCTGCCGCCACGTCTCCCCGTTGCTGAAGAAGAGCCCTGGGTGCGGAAAGGGACTGGGTGGGTAAGCGTCTCCCAGCGCCTGCGCCCAACTCTCGGCCCCGCGCCAGGCGCCCGCTCCCCCGCCCCTCGCTAGGGGGAAACGTGCCGCTAATGAGGGGGGACGAATGCCGGGAGCTTCCCCTGCAAGCCCCTGCTCCCCTAGACCCATGACTAGCCAAGAGGCTCCTCTTTCACGGACAGACGTTTCTATGCGGTGTGGGGGGGAACCCTCGAAAAGTGCCCCCCCGAGACTCAGGAAACAGGAGGTGAAAGAAAAGGACCCAACATTTGGTATTTTTAGAATAGCGGGTCACCTGACGCAATGAAAAGGGAGCTGGTTTAAAACAAACCAAAGGAAGTTTTTCTCTGTGCAGCTCACGGTCAACCTGTGGAACTCCTTGCCACAGGATGTGGGGAAGACCAGGATTTTAACAGGGTTCAAAAAAGAGCTAGATAGATTGACGGAGGTCAGCCAGAATAGGTAGGAACAGTGTCCCTAGCCCCTGTTTGTCTGGTAATGAGCGATACCCACCACCCATGTTCCTCACCATTGCCCTTGGAGGTCCTCTCTGCCAGAGCCAACCCCTCCCGGCCACTGAACTCCTCCGCGTGGTCCACCAGGGCCTCCTTCACCGCCTCGTAGCCCCACAGCACCACCGCCCGGTGCGGCCCCATGTAGATGGTGAACACCGGGCCGTACTGGTCTCGGAGCTAGCGAAAGGGAGCAAAGGTTACTTTTGGACACTCCTCCCCATGCCCACGCCGTGCCACGGTTTACCCAGCGAGTGGAGGTGCATGGTCACCAACCCTGCCGGAGTCAGGGAAACTGAGGCACAGCAGCAAACTGGTGCAGCCGTAGCCACGTGCTGGGCTGGAGCGAAAACGCCCCTGGAAAGGGCACTATTTCCCCTGCCCCGGCTGTGGTCGATCACAGAGAAATGTGCTCTCCTGCACATGCGGGACACCTGGATATTTGGTTTTCAGCTGCCCGCCCCCCGGAGCCGTTTGCTGGTGGACAAAAAGCCGAACCATTTTTGGATCAGCTCTGGGGAAGAGCCAGGATTAGCGCCCGTGCTTGCTAGCCCGCTGCTCATCCCGCCGACCCACAGCGGCTGGGGGAAACCTATCTGCCGCTGTGCTGTGGGACGAATCCCCTTCCCCCAGCTCACAATACTGCCCAGCAAAGAAACGGCTGTGAATTAAACGCACGGCAGCCCAAATAATTCAGGCTTCTGCCCCATTGCAGCCCCAGACAGGCCGCACCTGGTGCCAGATTCTCCTCTGGCGTAAGCAGTGTTCCCTTGAAGCTTTTCCATCCGTGTGTGGAATAAATTTTGTCACGTGCACGGAGGCATGTGTGAATGTGCACCACCCCTCGAAACAACAAACCTGGCGGCGAGCGCTGTGCTAATCAGCCGGGCGGCATTGGAATCTCTCCTGCGCAGCCGCCCAAGCGCCCGGCTTCCAGGCAGACTGGCCATAAGCTCCATGGACGCCAGCCCCGGAGGTCGACAAATGACCCGGCCCCTCTAGGTCACAGGTCAGAGCTCTGGCCTGTATTAACCTGCTCCCGCTCAGGTGCAGGGAGGCGGCCGGACAGGGCAGGCTGGTCCCTGCCCGTAGGGGCCGGATTTTGGAGAAGCTGCGTCTCCCCCAGCCGTCTAGCCTCCCCCTCTGTGCTCCCCCCTGGCAGAGCCCCGCCGTCGGGGCTCCCTTCAAGAGCAGAGCCCCGAGAGCCAGCAGGGAGCCGTGCGGCTCATTCTCCCTGGGGCGGCCGGGGAAGTGGGGATGCAGGAACTGAACTCACCGCCAGCAGAGAATGCAACAGCGAAGGGCCCCACAACTGCCGCAGGTTGCCCAGGAGGGGGAGGGGGCGCGGGCCTGGGGGCAGGTTGCCCCCCCCCGCCCTGTGCCCCCTCAGCAGCA